TGGTTTTCCTCATTTATTGTTTTTTAAAAACTCTCAAACCACTAGCCTTCTATGCTTATTTTTTAATAAATTCCTAAGAGGGGGGCTGCTAGTACAGAGGTTATACACCGTGAAAACTCTGACACATATTTTCCCATTTCTATTGATGATAAGCTGGACACAAAAACCACATAACTCCTTTCTGATCTTCAGTGTTCATTTTGTGGGTAGCTACTACAAAACAAAAATACCCAGAAAAGTCAGCCGTTAAGAATTTATAGTGCTTGACTTGTAGATGCACATAAACTAGTATTTGGCAGAGAGAATAACAGAAAGCAGTGCTCTGGGCAGCACATGGTCACTGCCCTGGCTTGGAAGCAAGAGGAAGCAGGCAGAAGGCAGCACAGGGAGGTGGAAACACCAGATCAAACAGTCACTTCATGTGGTGACGACAGCCTTGGCTGAAGAACAGCATGTGATGAATCACTAAGGAGAAATATCCTTTAAACCTAAATGGGAAGCTACTGACAGAGACAGTAAACTTAATCCTCAGAAGATTGCCAAAGCATCCACAGAAACTCATGATACTAGAAACCCACTGTTAGTTCTCACCCATCTACTCTTGGAGGCAGGGAAACATGCAGGGAGCCAGCAGCACTCTTTACTTTGCCAGAGTGGTTTCCAACAGCCACTCTGGGGCCAGGAGCAGTTGGGGTTGCTTCAACTCCATGGAATCTACTGGTTCTTGCAAGTATCTTACAATTTTACTACTTCTGAGAACTGGGAACCATAGCTCAACCTCAGGACCTTCTTGCTCTATTTACCAATTTCAATGTAAGAACTATGACTTGATAGCATTCCTCCTTTTTTGGTATCAGGGATCGAACTTGGGCCCTTGTGCTTGCGAGGCAGGCACTGGAATCACGGAGCTAAATCTCCGGCCCTAACTATGCCCCCGTGGAAGGGAACTGGAACACAGATGCCATAAAAGAACACACAGATGAAATGTATTATTCAGACTTTAATAATCACAAAATTAACCCTAAACTCACAATAACCCTACTGCCTGAGCCTCTCAAGTGTGTACAGGTGAGCACCACCACACCCAACACCCAACAGTTTTCTTGTTGTTATAAGATGGTACTTACCAAATGAAATAATTTTGATCAACCTGGAAATCTGATAAAATATCAATGATTAGCTAATAATTTGGGGCAAGCACTTGTAACATAGGTATTTCAGTGCAAAAAATTAGTTTAGTTTTATTCAAAACATAAAGAGGCGGCTGCGGATTTAGCTCAGTGGTGCCGCTGCCTGCCTCTCAAGCACAAGGTCCTGAGTTCGATCCCTGGTCCCCAAAAAATAAATTAATGAGTAACAATAAATAAAGGGACCAGGGATGTAGCTCAGCCTCCCTGACAAGTATGAGGAACTGAGTACAATTCCTGTTACCGAAAAATAAAAAAGGGTATTGTCACAGTGTGTGACCATGGCAGCATGGAGGATGAAAAGATTACTTGGAGACAAAACTTGGTCTGAACATCAACAGGCCCAGAGGAACTGGCCTGAGAGCACCCAGCATGAGGAATATCAAGGGGTGAGTCCCGAACTGTGAACTCTCTGGCTTTTATTGCAAGGAAAGAAAGGCAGAAAAAACAGCATGAGTGTCAAGGAACAAGGGGATCTGCCATGTGACACTTTTTAGGTTAATGTAAGAATTTTATTGGGGGGAGGGAAGGACAGTGGCCAAGCCTAGCATGTTTCCCTAATCTTTACCCCATACATTCTGGAGTCTATATACTTTTGTCCTGCAGTCCACCTTCAATGACTTTAATCATTTACTCCTTCACCCAAGTCACCCACAGAATATAATTTAGCTTTTATTGAACATTTTAATTTCAGAAATCACTTTTAAGATCTTGAGTACAGCCAGGCACACAACTGTAATTTCTGAGGCAGGAGTATTGCTGAGTTCCAGGCCAGCCTGGGCCACACAATGAGTTCAAGGCCATCCTGAATTACAGAGCAAGACCTCATCTCAAAATAACAACAATAAAACTGTTTAAAACAAGATGTAATTATGACTTTTTGGAAAAAAAGCTTTAAAATGTTTTACGTACATGTTAATACAGGTTAAGCCACTCAAAAAAAGACAAAGCAGAGTCAACATTAAGTCATGATCCAGGATTGTACAATAAGAAATAAATACAAGGCTTATGGTACTTGATAAGTAAAGACAACTAAGATGTATTTCAAATGTTTGAATAAAAGCATATTAAAGATCACTTTAAGTGGCATACACCTGTAATCCCAGCACTTGGGAGGCTGAGGCAAGAGGATTGCCAGGAGTTCAAGGCCAGCCTGGGCTACATAATGAGTTTAAGGCCAGCTTGGACTACAAAGCAAGACCATGCTCCACTCCCCAATCACTTTTAAAATAGTGTCCATATTTTCTCCTAAATGGGTATAGCCTCATCTGCAATCATGTACAAATATAATAAACTAATAGCTTTCTTAACCTTTTTAATACAAATACAACTCCTTGCTTCTTTATACAACCCACAAAAGAATAGAGTGAAGTCATTAGAAAAATAAGGACCTTTCTGAATCTATATTGCATTTTTAATTTAAATTGAAAAATACAGTTTAGAGCATATGAAACACAATGATTTCAGATTTACACATTAGCTGTATCCAAGACATTATTAGACATGATCTTTATTTTGGCTGAAATGCAAAAATATGATATCTTAGTAACATGTTAGTTAAAAATACTCCCATTAATAGCAGTGGTAGGAATGGAACAAAATGTGAGTGAAATATATCTGTAGATTACTGTCTATTCATATTTCCAAAATATGCAGGTCATAACCCCAAGCCCTTACTATGCCTTTGCTTTAAAGGTAACTGAATGGATATCTTACAGGTCCAATTATCTTCATTTAAATATCCATGTAAACATAGTCAATTTGTTCTCCAAAGAAATAAAATTCAAGTAAACATTGCATATTTGATTTAAACTAACCTTACAGTTTTACATACTTATGTCACACTGGATCATAACCACTAAATATGTACAAAGTTTTAAAAAAAAATCATCCTGTGAAGATGAAATTGAACTTTGTAAACACGATTACTCAATAACCAATACATGGCAGCTGCTCTTTGGTTTGGCACAGCGGTATTCAGGTGCCTTGAATGTTCAAGTAAATTTGTACTAGGTGAACCAAGCCTCTTGTGTAATTTATTTTTAATGGCAATGGCAAGCCCTGAAATTCAACCACATTTTGCTTAAGTATCATAAAAAATGTTCAAGTGTTTGAAGGATGAAAGTAACTAGAAGTTTTAGCAAGGCTTCTTTTGACCTTTCTACCCCCCAAACAGTTGAAAGTTATGACCTATACCAGTGGAGATACCAAAGAGGCATCCTTTCCCCTGATCTCATTTGTAGGTCCTTAATGAATGGTCACAGATATTACAAGTAAATTCAGCAAAGTGTTTACCATGTGGCCAAATGTTGGCTGTAAATTAATTAAATCAAAGGTAACTAAAGTAAGTGCCTTTAACTGACATTTCTAAAACAATTACAGTATCTACTATACTATTAAAGTGAATATTAAATAACAAAAGAATTGAAAAAGATTATAATTCACAAAAGTGCCTCAGTGGGTTAAAGGGAAAATGCTTCCTCAGCTGTCAGTTAAGTGCATGCAAATCCTTAAATTGAAATGTACTCACAAAAGGACCAGGACATTTCTGACAGGAGTCAAGTATTTTTTAAACATTTACTATTTCCTTGTAATATTCAAGCCACCAAATTGAAGTTAAGACTTTTAGCTGCTAATTGATACCTTGATTTTCACGTTGATTTTCTAAAATAGATTGTTAAAACTAAAGAGGTGAGACAGGTAGAAAAACCCATAGCAGTACTTCAGACCATGTTTTCAAAGCTAACTCATTCCTTTGGTCCAAAGAGAAAACGAGTTACTTCTTAAGATTTAGTATGGTCAATGTAAATGATACAAATCCTTCAAATTGTAAACTTGGAATAGCAACTATAAAATTTATGCTAGAAAATTATAGAACTATTTCTAGAATACTGTTTTATATACATACTCCAAAAATATTGGCAGATGAATGAAAAAGCAAGGTTATTTTGAAAATAGTAGGCATTATAGAATGTTAGAAATCATCCAAGGCCGGGAGTGGTGACACATGCCTGTAATCCCAGCTCTCAGGAGGCTGAGGCAGGAGGATTGCTGTGAGTTCCAGACCAGCCTGGACTAAATAGTGAGTTCCAGGTCAGTCTCAACTACACACTGAGTCCCTGTCTCACAAAAAAAAAAAAAAGAAAGAAATCATCCACATCAACTCATTCAGGAGCCCCTCTGCCCTGCAATCCCATTTTATAGGCAAGGAAAGGATAATCTCTGCTACAGATGCTGGTAATGTTTCTCTCTACATACCTCCTGGAACCAATTTGAAGGAGCGTGTTTAGTAAAACAATACACATGAGGAGTAACACTTCTACAATGTTTATCTTTTATAGTATTCTACACTATTTTCTGGATACAACAATCTCTTATTTAGGTTATGTTTTTGTTTTTGTTTTGGTACTGGGGATTGAACTCCAGACCTTGTACTTATAAGGCAGGTGGAGGAACCACTGAGCTAAATCCCTGGCCCTATTTAGACTATGTTTTAAAGGAGGTGTCTAGTGAGAAAGGGTTACTGTTAGGAAATCTGATTTAAGATTTGGCATTTAAAACTGGAATCCATTTCTCAAAAACAGGGACTTTTAAATGACTACTGAGGCTTACGCTTTCTTCCTGAAAGTTGTATTATTCTAAAGTTTTTTTCCAGAAAGTTCAAATTGCAAATGTTGTTTGTATTTTAAAAGTCACTGGTTTGAGCTGTTTCAAAATCACTTTAAGGATTGGGGATTTAGCTCAGTGGTTCTACCACCTGCCTCGCAAGCACAAGGACCCGAGTTCAATCCTTGGTACACACACATACACAAAAAAGGATTACTATAAAAAGTTTCAAAATAATTCTTAGCCATTACCTAAAATAAAAATTGAAAGTCAACTAAACAGTGTGTTTTAAATGCCTTTAGAATAGAAATTATTTCTTAACAGTTTTACAATATGCTGCCTATCTTTGTTTTTCTTCTAGCCATTTCCATCTATTTCTATGGTGTCCAATCATTTATAGTACATGTAACTTTGTGCCTCCCTTACATACCCTTAAATATCAACAAAAAAGTAATTAAAAAGCAGAGCATACCCCAAATATGTTTTATACTGCCAAATCTTCTTTAATGCTGGGGACAAAGTATGTATACTACATGGTTGTATATTCTTAACAAAAAGCTTTCAATGAATTGTACCAACATCTTCTATATTCTACACAATTATATTTAGATACCTAAATCCTTCTGAGTATGTTATTTTATAGCCTAGAATAAAAGTCTTTATTAAAAATGTTGAAAAGTATAAAAGTATAAATTAGCCAACACTCAATTTTTAAAAAGCAGTCATTTTCTTTCCATTATTGTAGTACAGGCAATCATAACGTGGATATTATTCATTTCAGACACCAACAGTCTCAGATGTACTTCACTTAAGACAAGTTTTTAATATGTGTTTTGGGTGAAAATTTACCTGGATATGAAGAAATGACTCTAACATTGTAACTTAGGTATAAAATACATATGCCATGTTAACATGGGATGATAGCCCCTATTACATCATCTCATAACAGGCAAGTGTTATTTCCAAAGGAAAATTAAGTCACTTTTGAGCTGTGAGTCAACAATGCACAAATGGACACTTAAAATTAAGGCATCATTCTGTTTTGTAGTGCTTCTGTGGATCCAACGAACCATACAAAGGCTTCCTTTTTTTTAAAAAATAGATCTTCTGTTATATTTGATGTCACTCCATTGATCATTTTCTTGCAAATAAAATGGAAAATACTAGTCCACAATGTTTTTATACACCTATGAAAATAGAAATGACTGAATTAATAGCTAATACTTGATTTTTAAAAATTTCTCAATATATATTAAATGGTTCTGTGGGTTAAGAATAAAGGTGCTAACAGTGCAAGACAGGAAATGAATGCTTTATTACTACTAATAATGAAAATAAAGATTTTTATAAGTAGTAAATAAGGGGCTATCACTGACTTCCTTCCCTTTCAGCAATCCAAGAGGGTTTCACAGAGAGGGATTCTCATGGCACTCCCTGTCCACCTACACCTATTCCAAGGTGCTGGGTCAAGGTGGGCAAGCTCCCACCACAACTGCAAGAGGAGCTCTGGCCAGGGACTCTGAACAGCCACAGGCACCAGCCAGCTCGCCACCTGTACTAAGATGCAGTACAGGCACAGGACTAAGTGCCCTACGGGACTGAATGCTATTCCACAGCTTTGGCTCTCTGTGGCTCAGACCTACTTTCCAGACAGAGCTACTCTGCCAGCCGTGACCCCCAACCCTGTACTACATCTTGGGCTCTGGCCCTCACTCTGTCCTCCATGAGGACCCAATTTGATGATAAGCTGGTGATGTGAGTGAGCCCGAAAGGGATGCTCCCCTGAGACTCCAAGTGGAGTCTGACTCCCTCTGTGTGAAAACAGAACAGTGGCAGCATGTAACTCCAAGCTCTATGTCTAAAGACATTTGTCACCCAGCAATGCCTTGTTGCTGTGTCTCTTATAAAAACTAGATAAACAGCATCACTGAACCTTTTCAGTCTTCTCCTCAGCTTATAACTTTAAACATTGTTCTCTGGATCAAATTTCTTCAACAAAATACAAAAATCACCTTCTTTCTCAGGCTAATTAATAAGGCAGTGCTATCGAAAAGGTTAATTGTTCACATATCAATCCTAAGCTATTTCTTCATTTATCTACCAACCAATATTTACTAACACTGTATTAAAAGTAGTTAAGAAAAATGAGATTTTGGCAGATGTTAACTTCCAGTCTTTCCTGTACTGATTAATTTTGCTGATATAACTCAAAAGAATTTTTAAAAATTATAAAATGTTTTGATTTGGAATATGCAAAGAAACTATGCGTACAAGGAAATTACCTTTATACTGTCTTACCTTGCTCTTATTGAATGGTTAGTTATGAACAAGTAGTACTCAATTTTCTACTGTCACTGTAACATGGTTATTTGTCCCTGTAAGCAAATAATTATATAGGACATGATAAAAAAATATTAAATTACTGGCTAAGTGGTAAAACTGATTACATTAAGAACCATCAGGTAAGAAGTAAACAGGCCTGAGCCAGGAATTTAGCTCAGTGGCACCGTGCCTGTCTGGCAAGAACAATATCCCGAGTTCAATCCCCAGTACTGGAGGGGTTAAAAAAAAAAAGTAAACAGGCTTACAGCACCATTTGCCTTCTTGTAGAACACGGAATTGAATAAGCAGTGTTAAGAGTAAAAAAATCTAGTTTTACGCTATCCTTGTGAAAATAGCCATTGGTTTTAAAGATGTTAGGCAGCAAAAAATTAATTCCACAAAATGAGTTTTCTACTAACCTACAGAAGAGGTCTTATCATCCTAAAATACTAAATTAGGTGAATTTTTGCCATGCTGGTAAAAGCAAAAATGATCCTTCCCTCAAAAAAATTTTTTTGACAGCAAGTGTTTAAGGTATTTTGTAGAGTTAGTACAAATCAATCCAAATGTCTCCAACTATTTTTCTACATTGCAAGAACACAACAGTGTTATTGTTATTATTAAGAAACCTCTCAGACATTTTTATCATTAAGAAGCACCCCAAATATACTTTAGGCTACAATGCTAAGTGGTCAGATGATACTGTAAACCTAGGTCTGATGAGAAATCCCACTTCAATTTAGTCTATACTGTATCCAAAATTTACAAAATGACAAGTCAATAAGAAGGTTAAAACATACTCAGTACACATTTTTTAAAAACCAAGGAAGTACAATACTTTTCAAAAATTATTTTAAACTAAGCATATGCCAGGGCCCTAAAGAATAATGTTGAATAACACTATTCAGAGGAGCAGGAAAAGAACTTTCCATCTTTGAGTGAAAAAATGTGTGGCTAAAAACAAAAACCCCAGCTGAACTGAACAAAACACATCAACTACTATGTGTGCCTCGCTCTGCACCTTTTTTCTTTCCCCAGAGAAGCTGCCAATAAACACAAGCAGGGCACACATGACATTTTCTTAAAACGTTTCATGTTTCAGTATTTCAAAATACAACATTCTTTTAGTTTATTACATGCATTTCATCTAAACCAAACAAGCAGTGTTTCCATGAGAACCATTACCTGATCTTACAGCACGTTCTTCAGCTCCATTCTCCAGCCACTGAGATTCAGTGTCCAACAAGCGGTTTTTTGATTCACTAAGTGGTCTGATAGGAAAAGGTGGATTTGAGCCAATACTGAAAAGAGGGGGAAATAATTTAGTAAATAATTTAATGCTTAATTAAGGATACTTAAAAAATTAATAAGCAGCAAATTAGTATTACTTTTCCTAAATATGTGAGGGCAACTCATGAGACCTCAGCACTCAGCCAAACTATCTTCAAAGGAAAAATATGCCCACATCCCCCATTACATGGCTCGATAGAGCCAAGAATCTGTACTCCAACACTGCCAATGAAAATGATTAGACAAAAGAAAAAAGCTTCAGACGCAAGTCTGAGTGTTTTAACATGTTAATCAGGAGCCATAAGGTAGTACAGCGACAGGTGAGGAGCTATGTCTGTGGCCAGTACAAAAAAATTACCTGTCATTTCCCAAGTTTTCTGCTTTCTACCTCTGCAGTTTAGATCTAAGGGGAAAAAATGATTTAGTGATTTAGTGTAGACTTATTCTTCTAGCTAAGAGAACTAGGGAGGGAGGGCATGAAGGAAAAAAGAAAAGGGAACTGAGATTGTCGGTGCCTGCGATAGGCCAGAGTGTGCGGCAGGTACTCTGTATATACTGTCTGACTTCTCAGCGATGGCTGCAGGCGGTCTCATCATCTTCATCTTACAGGAGCACAGGCCAGGCTTAAGACTGCTTCAGTGACTTTAAAGACCATGACAAATTTTAGGGTTCAAAGGTCTGAGGCCTTAGGTTATTGGGTTCAAAGGTTTACTTTCTCTAAAGTCAATATGCTAATTTAGAACACAAATCTATCTACCTACCTACCTACCTATCTACCTATCTATCTAACCTATTCAGTACCAGGGATTGAACTCAGGTCCTTGTGCTTGCAAGGCAGGCGGTGAAACCACTAAGCCAAATCCCCAGCCCGACCACAATTTACTCTTGTAATAGATACATTTCAAGTGTTTCACTTCAAAAGAAGTATTTATCTTCTTTAAAATTCCATAGGGGAACAGTTTGCTTATCATGCAAATATTATGGGAAAATTTCCATTAAGATAAGTAAACAAAATTTCTATTTTTGAGTACTCATTATTTTGACACGGTCTTAAAACCTATCAAAATAAAATAAAATAAAATAAAATAAAACAAAATAAAATAAAATGATTAGTACAATGAATACTTTGAAAAAATATAATTAATGTAAGACAATATAATCAAGGTTTTTTTTTCGTTTTTTGAGACAGGGTCTCACTATGTATTTGAGATTGACCTGGAACTTACTATGTATCCCAGGCTGGTCTCGAACTCACAGCAATCCTCCTGCCTCAGCCTCCCAAGTGCTGGGATTACAGGCATGCACCACCATGCCCGGCAATATAATTAAGTTTTAAAAGAATATCTGACTTTCTATGAAGATACAGTATATTACCTTGCTTCCTAGTTTGCCCAGAGAATTTCCACTCATTGGTACTGTTCTAGTTTAACTATTAATGTATGCTTATACACAAGTACTCTATCCTATTCTCAAGTGTTCTACTTTGAAGGATTAAAAATAAACAGTTATCCTAAGCATTTTAGGTACATGCATACATTAACCCACAGTTTAAAAACTTTAAATAGAATTTCCCTTCCTTCCTTCATTTATGTGGTACCGGGGATTGAACTTGGGTCTTTGTGTTTGTGAGGCAGGTAGTAGAAACAGTGAGCTAAATCATTTTACTGATTTAGCTAAATCTATTTTATTGAGTTGCTACTGTATGTGCCCATAAGATATGTATGTGCATGGTTTGTTTTACAATAAATACTGAAAAACACTGGGACAAGAAATGTACCTTCTAGCATAGTCATTCTGGTTTGTAACAGAAGCTTGTTCTGGATCCATCCCCACCAGGCGAGTTGGGAAACTGCAACCATCACCCAAGCTGCATAATGAGAAATAGCAATAGTATGTATGACTCAAGGTCAAACTTAACATCTAGTTTTTAGTGGCGTGAGGAAAAATTACTTTAAGTTGTCATTTTAGTCCTGAGATTTCTTTTTTGTTTTTGGTACCAGGGATTGCATTCGGGTTCTTGCGCCTGCAAGGCAGGCCACCAAACTACTGAGCTAAATCCCTGGCCCCTAATCCTAATTAAGAGGTTATTATCTCCATTGGACACACAAGCCCTTTTCTTTTATAATTTGCACATATTCAGAAACAATGTCAGCTGGGCACCAAGTGCACCTCTAATCCCAGCTACCTGGGAGGCTGAGGTAGGACGACTACTTGAGTCTATGAGTTTGAAATCTGCCTAGACTCCGTAACGTAACAAGACTCCATCTAAAAAATATATATATAAGCTAAGTAAAAAATCAGAGACAATGTCCTCTCTGTCTATTAAGTTCAACATTCCTAGTTAGCAAGTAATTGGATCAGTGGATTTCTTATCACAGTCATTTAAGAAATCATCCAAGCTCAACCTGAAATTAGAGATATAAGTTTCACTTATGTATTCATTCAACAACATTCACCAAATCAGTATCTTGGGCTGAGGGCATAGCTAATGATAAAGCTCTTGCCTAGCATGCATGGGGTCCTGGGTAGGGTCTCTAGCACAGCAAAACAAATTAAAACAAACAAACAAACAAAAAAACAACACCTCAAACATCTATTGAATACCTGTAACATTCTGGGTATTTTAAGCACTGGGGATATAGCAGTGACCAAAAGAGAAGAAAATCTCTGGCTTTAAGAAGTTTATAGTGTCCTAGTTCTTGGGCGGCTGATGCAGGAGGATTGCCACGATTCACAGCCAGCATGGGTTACATAATGAGTTCAAGGCCAGCCTGAACTACGTAGCAAGGCTGTAGAAGTTTCTAGTGTTAAAAAGATAAGTATAGTTATGCCTTATTTTTACATTCTTATAACAAAACTGTATATAACAGTGGCTTTCACCTCCAGCCAAGACAGAATAACTGGTAACTGTAACATGTCATCATAGATAGCCAGAAACTGGAAGTAATGTTTCAACACAAGGCTGCACAGCACTGTGGTCTCAAAAAGAAAAATAAGCAGACCAACTTTCTGCTACAACTATCCCACCAGAAGGACTCCAAAGCAGAGCAAGGTAGTCCTGTGAATTAAGGTGATAGAGATGGGAGTTTTGAGAGCTGAAGTGGCCTCAATCTATGAGACAGAGCAGAGGAAGAGAAAGACACGTACAGAAATGACTGCACTTGAGCGTTTTGATAAATATTAAACTATCCAGGTGAATCTGGGAAAAGAACTAGGAAATGCAAGGAACAAATGTAGAGTCCTCACAACTTTGGGAAGCATTCAACTCTGACCATGCAAAATGGAGAGATCTCAGCCATGAATCTGAGGGACTTCATTTGAATTCTAAGGCTAAACTAGCCCCATAGAAAATACTACTCTGGACTTAACCTAAATAAGCCTAAAACAAGCCCCAAAAAGCCCTAGCTGAGACATAAGTAACCTAATTCCTGACAAATCCAAATTCAATAATCTTTAAAGGAAGACAATAGGCTGGGCGTGGTGGCACGTTCCTATAATCTCAGCACTCTGGAGGTTGAGGCAGGAGGATGCAGCGAGTTAGAAGCCACACAGTGACTACATAGTGAGTTCAAGGCCAGTTCGGACTACATAGAGATACTCTGTCTCCAAAAAAAAAAAAAAAAAAAAAAAAAAAGGGAATAAAATCTATTCAGCAAATTAGCATTCAAAATGTGCACAATCCAATAAAAAATTACTAGACATGAAAAATAAAAAATGTGACCCATAGCTAAGAAAAAAACAGCCAACAGAAAGAATCAGAAAATTAACAATTTCAATAAAAATTAGTAGATACTAAAATGATGATTATAAATAGGTCCATAAATATAAAGGCATAAGAAATAATGAAAACAAAAGTAAGCTATAATGGAAAACTCACTGGATAGGCTTCCCAGCTGATTAGATACTGCAGAAGCAGAGATGAATGGACTTTCAGACACAGGAGCAGAAACTAACCAAAATGAAGGGAAGACAGAAAAATAGATGGGGGAGGAAGGTAGAATGTGTGGGTCTCTACCAAGAAACTGCATGTATATATACTTGAGAGTGCCAGGAAAGCTGTTAGGGAAGGGCTGGAAAAGAGGACAGTAGGCAAAAACATGAAAAAACCAACTGAAGCCAGTGCATGGTGGCACCTGCTTGTGATCCCAGCAGTGGAAGGCTGAGGTGGGAGAATGGCAAGTTCAACCCCAGCCCAGGCAACTTAGGAACTTAACAAAACCCTGTCTCAAAACAAAAAACGAAAAGGGCTGGGTTGTAGCTCTTTGGTAAAGTCCATGGGTTTAATCCCAGGATTGAAAAAGAAAACAAATGAAGGTATAATAGGTAAAATTGATTTAAATCTGATGAAAGCTACTAAATCAGATTCAAGAAGCATAATGAACACCCAGACAGGATAAATATCACCACAAAACTGCTTAAAACTGGTGATACAAAAAAAAGGTGTGTGAGCTGGGAGTGGTGGTGCACGCCTATAATCCCAGCACTTGGGAGGCTGAGGCAGGAGGACTGCTGTGAGTTAGAGACCTGCCTGGACTACATAGTGAGTTTCACATCAGTCTCAACTACATAGTGAGACCCTGTCTCAAAAAAAAAAAAAAAAAAGTGTGTGTGTGTGTTGGCGGGGGGCGGGGAGAATAACATGGGTCCATATAGTAATTTACAAACAGTAGATTAGGGCAAGAGTAAGGTTAATGATGCTCCACAGAGACCATGAACAGTGGAAGATAAGAAAATAATACCTTTATAACAGGAACCTAAAACCATGAATTCCCTGATCAGAGAAAATAACTTTCTCAACAAATGATCCATGTTCCAAGCAGAGGGAACAGAAAAGTCTCAAAAACACGAGACAATAGAGAAATAAGTACATAAGACAGCAGTGAACTTGAATATATAGCAACGGACCCATGTAAAAGGAAAAGACTGAACATAAAAATGAACTGGGCTGGGAGAAGCTCTGAGGGAACTAGTATGTCTGTAACTGGAGTCTCTATGTTAGGGACAGAAGAAGTAATGGTTAACAATTTTTTCAAATTTGATGAAACTATAAAATCAGAGGCAAGAAGCTCAACTGATCCCAACAACAAACATGAAAACTAAACCAAGGTAATATCTTAAAATTTTGAAGTGATTAAACAGAAAGTCCTTACAGTAGTCATAGAAAAGACACATTCACTATAGTGTAAGTAAATAAAAGGACCACAAACTTATCACAAAAAACATAGGCCAGAAAACAGTGGAGCAAATTCAATACCAAGCAAAAGCAGCCTTCAAAGATGAATACCACATAAATCTTTTTTAATCCCCAAATAGGTAATTTGGTTAAGGAAAAAACCTTTTAACTGTAACAAATATACCACTTCAATTATAAATACTTTCCTTCTATATAATGACTTGGTTATGGAGATGTTCTAAAATGGCTGGGAATTAAGAGAAACATGGAAACTATGAATCATCGTTAGTATATATTCTTTTACAACTGACATAAAGCTGCACCGTGTTTTAAGAAAGAATGTATTATTCACTTCTGTGATGGAATCTTTGAAGCTCCAACTACAGTAGGTATAAATTGTTATGATTCACTTCCAACAATTTATTTTTAAAGAAAATAAGGGATTATTTTTATGTATCATCTGTATTTTTTGCTCTCCATTATATAGTATGCTCAAACTATTGTATCTAATTTTATATGAAAGAGAATAAAATATTTTATATATGATAAGGTTATTCTGATCATTCATTTTAAAGGCCCACAAAAATATCTCTATTATATTCTCTGAATCTTAATACATTTAATCAGAGACCCAGTCTACTACAGATTCCATAACTAGAGACCTGCATTTTATAAATTACCTTGAAAATACTGGAAATAGCCAATATTTCTTTTCATCACCAAAGACTTGTCTCCAATTTTTACTGTACCCAAGAGAGAAACCATTTCCATCAGATCCATATGAAAATGTAGGTGTGCGGAATGATTCTATTAAAAAAAATAAGCTAATTAATTATCAAATTTTTTTGCTTATATCTCATGTTAAACCATAAATATAATTTAAATTATTAGTAGCAACTAAAAATAACTAGAAATGATGAATAGATGATAAGCCAATCACCCTGAGCAGATTATTACACATTATATATATGTGCTATACTGTAGCCTATAAATATGTACAATTATTATGTGTCAATAAAAAATACATTTTTAAAAACATAAACTTCTGAAATTTATTTAGAAAAAAGTACATTTTAATTTTATCAACTATATAAAATAACCGTCAAGCTGCGTATGGTGGTGCATGCCGCCTTTAATCTCAGCACTTGGGAGGCAGGAGGATCGCTGTGAGTTTGAGAACAGCCTGGGCTACATAGTGAGTTCCAGGGAAGTCTCAATTACATAGTGAGACCCTGTCTCAAAAACCAAAAAAAAAAAAAAAAAATCTTGTTGTATGTGTGGACAAAAAGGACTGCTGGAAAACCCAGGCCATGGGGCAGTGAGGAAACTCAGGGGCAAAAATGGATGGTGCAGTCAAGAGTTACTGAAGTCATTTTATCATAGAACTCTGAATGGACAAGGGTGAGAAATGAAACCAGAAGAAAAACTTGAAAGAAAAGTGTGGGATAAGACAGGACTGAATGATCCACAAAACAAAGTGTATCAGATTGCAGAAAAGGGACAATGGAAAGACTACAAGATTACAGTGAGAGAATGAAATGTTCTTGTTGATAATGTAATCCTTAGAATTTCTTCAGTTTTAAGTGATTAAAAGCTCATGGACTGGGGATTTAGCTCAGTGGTGCCACTGCCTGCCTTGCAAATGCAAGGTCCTGAGTTTAATCTCTGGTACAAGAAAAAAAAAAAAAAAAAAGCTCAAATTGTGGTTATGGGAATGAGAAGCCACCAAAATCAAAGGGATTAGTTTGAACACAGGAACTCATTAAATATGGGGAAATTATAAAATTGGGGTTAACAGCTATGAAGGGCAGAGGTACTGTCAAGATAGGAGAATAAACATCTGGATATAGCAAGGGAGAATTAGCCAGGCACGTGAGAAGATGAGGCTGTAAGAAAGATGGTGTGCTAAGGCAATGTGTTTTCAAAGCATGGGCCAGAATACTGTAGCAGGCCATATGATCAAGGCAAAAACTGTGAGCTAAATTGCAAAAGTGAAAGCATTTCTACACCATCTACAGCAGGTGGCTACCACTCAACTCCAACTGACACCAGGTGGGAAATAGGCCCACTATTCATTATCAGATATATCCTTTGGAAAGCAAAAATTGTTTTTTTATGTGAAATATTTTCATTTTTAGCTTTGCTGAAGATTTTAAGGGGTAGTAGCCTTTATCAACATGCCAAGTTTTGCTATCTCTGATTAAGAATAAGGAGATGGCAGGACATTCTATGAAGAAGACAAACAAATTAGTTAATGTAAGAACTTTTATTCACATGTAAAAAGGATAAAAGAATGATGGAAGTGGAGGAGAGCTCAACAGTAGAAGGTAAGCTGGGGGAGGAAGGGTGTAGAAATCTTTACCCTGGAAAGTGTAGGAATCCTTACCCTGGAACCATAATTTACAGGATCCAATGATACATGAGCTTAGAAAGATCCAAATGTAATTACTATCTAAATGCTTCCCTAAAGTCTCTTTTCAGTATTCTATATTAAAAACTGTTCCCAAGTTGGGAGTGCTGGTACTCACTGCAAACCTAGCATTCAGGAGGCTGAGGCAGGAGGATCACTGTGAGTTTAAGGCCAGCCTACAGCTACACAGTGAGTTCAGTTTCTTCACAATTCTCCTGGTAGACATGAGTTTCAGATGGGCAGGTGATTTTTAGCCTTCTTTTTATCTGTGGTACTGGGGAAGGAACCCAGAGCTTTCGTGCCAAGCTACATCCCCAGCTCTCTTTCCAGATAAGGTCTTGCTAAGCTGCCCAAGCTGGCTTTCAACTTTTAATCCTCCTGCCTCAGCCTCCCAGCGTGTATGCATGTGCCTGCTTATTTGCAGTGCTGGAGATTGAACCCAGGGTCTTGCATATGCTAGTCAAGTAGTACTCTATATTAAAATTATAATTTTTAGTTATTAAAATTCCATATTTTCATATATAACCTATTACTGAAATTACAAAAATGTAATTTTTAGTTCTTCAACATAATGAACCATTTCATTTATTTATTTGTTTTTTTGAGACATGGTCTCACTATGTAGTTGATTTGTTTATTTTGGTACCAGGGATTGAACTCAGGACCTTGCACTTGCAAGACAGGCAGAAGATATCCACTGCGCTAAATCTCTGGCATCTCACTATGCAGTTGAGACTGATCTGGAACTCACTGTGTATCCCAGGCTGGTCTTGAACTCACAGCGATCCTCCTGCCTCAGCCTCCTGAGTGCTGGGATTACAAGCGTGTACCACCACGCCCAGACTGACGTTTACATTTATTATATACTGTTTGTATCCAAGCACAGTTTTAACAGAGATCCATTTCATACTGCTGTATCATCTGACTACTGTCCTTGTCTAGATTTCATATTCATTTGTGGTTATGTTCCTAAACAATTATTTATTTTAGCGTATTTACCTATTGTTGTTCTATTTTTTCCAACTAACCAGCAGTGGTAGCTGAATAGTGAGAGGACACTGATGAAAAACATTGCAGACACGAAGAAAAGGAAAAGTATGTGGAATTTTGCACGTGTATCTGTCGGTTCATTCTGAGGAAAGAAAAAAAAGGTTAATTCTAAGGGTATTAAACCTCTAAACTATCGCATAATTTAGTTCTGCCTACAGACTGCTGTTGCTGAATCCAACAAAAAATTTAAAAATTGCTCTTAAATATTTAAAAATTTCAGCAGTATCCCTTAGTAATAAAATGACAAGATGGACTCTTTGCCTTACAATTTTCTTTTGTACTTTATAGTCAAGCTTCCCTCAAAATACAGAAGCTATGCTGAAATATTTCCTCATTTTAACTATATATGCTGTTACCAGAAACTAACTGGGATATGCTGAAATTTTGTTTTGTTTCTCAGGTATCTATTTCTGGGACACCAGAAATGTGACACCATGCAAAAGTGTCCATGCCTTAGCTGCTCTGACTCCAACCATTTCACCCTCTCCAGAGTCTGTGAAGTAACTGGCAATTTTGATAAATGTATTTCCCAGAAGATATTAAATGAAAACAGCTTCTCTATTATTCTTTCTTACAGTTACAAGAATGCATCCCACTATTTAAATTATAAAGCATTTTGTCTGTTTTTGTTTCTAGTGCTGAGGATGCAATCCAGGGCCTTAAATGCTCTACCACTGAGTTACACCCTCACTATACATTAGATTATTTTGATATTTCCCTTTTCTCTCTCTTTACCTCAAGTGATTCTTTTATGTCACTATCCTGTGAAGCAAATTTCTGTATACAATTCACTATAAAATGTCATAAAAGAGATAATGAGAATGTCATGGCAATGATGTGTTTTACCTTTGGACAATTCTCTGTAGATTTCCTGCGGCAAAGCTTGTGCAAATAGAGACAATGTATTAAGAAACCAATTTTTATATTAAATTATCCTGATCACCTGAGCACTATGTTATAAATTCTGTATGTTTCGAAGGAACACTAGATGTTGTTTTCTTTTTTTTTTTGAGACAGGGTCTCACTATGTAGTTGAGACTGACCTGGAACTCACTATGTAGTCCAGGCTGGTCTTGAACTCACAGCAATCCTCCTGCCTCAGCCTCCCGAGTGCTGGGATCACAGGTGTGCACCACCACACCCAGCCAAGATGTTGTTTTCTAATAGATATCTACAATATTTTCTAAAATAAACCCAAGAGAAAATCAGATAAAAATATTCAGCTTTTCAAGCACAATTCAGGTACAACTTTAACATGTAGTTTTTCATTCAGGTTTTAACAGGTTTGTGTCTAGAAAGAATAAAATGTTTTAGCAAGTTATGTGTTTCTCTAAAACTTCTGATTAGCAGTTTCTAAAAACCAGACCTGAAGTAAGGTGTGATGGTGCACATCAGTAATCCCAGCACGCTGGAGGCTGAGGCAGGAGGATCACTACTAATTCAAGGCTAGCCTGAGCTATAGCAAGATCCTGTCTCAATACACACATGCGCACGCGCGCGCACACACACACACACACACACACACACACGACTTGAAGTCATCTTACCATCTTCATTGCTATGACTGTTACAGGTAGAAAACTACAACAGTCTCTAACAGGTGCTGGCTGTGGGACTCTTCCCCCTTCCCATTTTGCAGCCTATCTTTCAGAGTTACCCTTTACAGATCTGATCGTTTCTCTTCTGCTCTCCCCAGTTCACTGGGCTAACTGCCACCTTCCAGCTCTCTCCAACACCTACACCCTGGCTTCCCCCTAAGTCTCCCCTGCTCATTATCCTCCAGCACAATGGCCACTTTGCTGCTGCCCCAAACATGCTAAGGACACCAACATGTTTCTCCTTGGTCTCCTGCCCCCTACCCAAGTCCCTCTAAGCTGCTCCAGTCCCACCCTCTTAGTAAGGCCCCTCCTGTCCACTGTTTATTGTGCACCCTGTCCCTCACACTACCCCCCCCCCC